AGCGCGCGGCGGGGACCCTGGGCGGCCGAGGAGCCTGGGTCTGCGTTCGCCGAGGGCTGCAGGAGCGCCCCGGCGGCCCCGACTTTCTTACGCTTAAACCTGCCTCCAGATTGTGATTTTTATTTTTTTATTTGTTTGTTTATTTATTTGGAGCACTTAACCTGCTGTGGCCCTAGGGATGGGGCTGTTGCACCCCCAAGCGCAAGTCGGGCTTGGGGACGGTGCGTCTTCGCCCTCTGCTGGCATGCTGGCACAGCCCTTTTCCAGTCTGGGGCAGGCTTGGAGAAGGGAAAACGTGGTGTTGGCGGCTCTGTTGCGGCCGGACCTGCGGTCCCTGAGCCGGGAAATGTTTCCTTGTCCTCCAGGCTTTCCGCTCACCGGCTCTGACTCACCTCCCCGAGCCGGCACCCAGCAGCTCCTCAGCAATCCCAGGCACCTGCAGGAGCCCCTGGTGCCCCGCCTGAGCCCCGAGGGTGCGTCCGTCCGTCTGTCCGTCCAGCGGGGGATGGCCGGGGCGGGCCGCGGGATGTGGCGAGGGGTCTAGGCCGAGCTGGGGGCTGCCTAACGCCAACCTCTGGCCACCGCCGCGTTGGCGTGAGCGAAAAGCATGAGGCTTGGCATCACCTCCTTGCCGGGCTTCCTCTCTGGGGGGGGTTCGGGCGGACCGCGGATGCACGGTGCTTGCATGTGTGGCGTTTGCCCTCCTGTTTTCCTGTTGCCCAACGCTCACCCACCACGCTGGGGTCACATGAGTTTGTTTTTGTGTCTTGCAGTCGTGTCATCCAGGCAGAGCATCTGGAGGTAGAAGGGCCCGGCCAGCGGAGGATTAATCGCCTCGCAAGCCTAACTGTATAAATAAAACTGTATTCCGTATATAGATATATATATTTTTTACTGCTTTGTATCATGAATGGATGTGGACGGCCGGAAAAAGTATTTTTACGGACTGTGAAAGACAGCAAGAACCAACCGAACAGAGCAACCCTCTTCCCCCGTGGATGAAAACAGACCCGTTCTATTTTTTTAAAGCGGTTTCTATATTTAACAGAAAACGGCAGTGCTCATGTGCCACCGAGCCTCCTCCAAAGGCCCGTCCCGTGCTTCAGAAAGCCCTTGCTCCTTTGAGAGCCGCCGGGACGGGACGGCCAGCGCGACGTCTCCGCTGCCCGGGCGCAACGGCGAAGGCGCTGCGGGGTCCTGCGCTGCCCTGCAAAATGTCGCTGGGATTTCCCGTGGGGAGCGGAAGGGCCAGGCTGCTTTCGGCGCGCCGGGGACGTACCCGTCGCCCTGGCCGGCTCCCTCGCCGCCGCTGACCTGGCCCCGCCGAC